AAATTTGTGATTCAATGAAACTAAAAACTATTGGGGTAAAAATACATTTGTCAAGATATAGACTGAACAATTCACACATAGTCTTCACAGAAAAGACAATGTCATTTATTTACGACAGCATGGTATATGATTCTTACGTGTCAGACTTCTTATGAATTCTTTTAAGTAATTTTAAATTTGTGATTCCATGAAAATGAAACTTCCATCTAACATGCAATTATAATTGTCAAATTTGGTCTTTTTCGTAATGCAGAGTTATCAGCTCTTATAACAGGTAAGGTCTGTTTTGTCATTATTTAGCGTTAGAAAATTACATCCTTTTCTAATGTTTTCATGATGTTTTCACTCATTAAAGTAGAAATGACACATACTCACAAGAGCAGATAACTCAGTGTTATGGAAAAAGAGAACAGCCTTTTCCGTAATCAAATATTTTTATAATGGGTAGTGTATGACGACACAACAAGAAACATTTGTTTCCAGATCATTTTATAAGTCCTGTTATCTGTTTACAATGCAAGTCAATATCTAAAAGATGAAACAAAAGAAAGGTCATTTAAAGAACATACAGACATGATTAGAAGAAGAGGAGTATATTTAACATTTGTTTCAATAAATAAAACTAGCCATAAGTTAAAATATAAAATATTTAAATACAATGCTAAGCAAACAAAGATAACTTACCCGCAATATACAATGCCATTGTTTTGCAATAAAAATCAAAACATCTCAATACAATAAAGCTCTGTACTTTCTGAACAGATGAAACAAAAATCATGTGAAACTGAATAGCATGTACAATTAAATGACACAAACGGTGATGTAGTAATGTGAGGATTATCAGTAGCTGCCACGGCTAATGGGTAGAAGTTCATAATCTTAACACAAGGGAAACATTACACTGGAATTTAAATACACTTTATTATGTTGAAATTTATACTAGAACTGCAGTTTTACTAACTGTAAATTGATTCAAAAGAGTAGGTAGCATAATCCCATCAGAATGACCTGTCATGTTGAATCAATTCAAGTTTGGAGATTACCGTTGTTTCTAGGGGTGTTCAGTATACTTGTGAGGAATACACAGGACAGGACATATGGGTGTATTTCTGAATGCCTACATTTGTAATATTCCTACTGGGCAATTTGTTTTGATAGTGATTTTAGTCATTACCCTTAAAGTAGTGTCAGTTCCAACAGGTATATTTAAATGTTAAACTTTCCAGTTAGTATTTATTGCATTTATCATTTTCTATTTTGAATGTTACTGATACTTTTCAAAAAATTTCAATGTCTAAAGATATATTTTAATTTTGTTAATATCATGTGATTAATCAAATTTCAAATACTTGATTATTAAAAATTGTACCAATATCAGTATTACAGCTCAGTTACTTTACATAATTATGTCGGATATATGTAAAATAAAGTAATAAATATTGTTCTCTTTAGCCCTATAAAATACAAAGAAACTTATTACATCATTTCATATCATCATGTTCTATTATATCATATGTTGTTGCATAAATCATTACATACTTCACTGCACATCGTATCATGGAGGACAAATATCTCTAAAAATTATTTTCATATATTCAGAGTTTTTTTAAAGTTCTATTATGAATGGAATTCAAAAGTTCTTTAAATTTAATTGCTTTTGGACTGACGTAATGATATTTTTATATTTTTTTTTTTATGTTCAGGTATAGACCGACATTAGATTTGAACTTTCAACTTGATCTATTTAGGGACATCTGTATCATTTGTATCACAATGTGGACAATTCTATTCTGATATCCTACATCCACCTGTCAGTCTTCACTACAAATTTATGACTGATTGTTCTAAATACAAAGTAAAATTCTTTACCATTATATATCAAAGTATTTCTTAAAATCATAATCATTTCTGATGTATTCTGAGGCAAATTAATGTCCAAGATTAAAAAATATCACTCCTTCTTTTATTTGAAAACTGACAGCGTGGTATCTGCTTTATAAGTTTTGTCCATTGTGGATTGAAATTTCCTTGAAATTGAGAATTCTTCATTCATTTGAATTGTCTTGTATGAAACTCAAGAATGGAACTACTCTATTTTCATTTGGAAGAATTTACCATACATTACAATAACAGTATATCATCTTTCTTTAGACCAACAATTTATCTTTCTTGTTTTGATATCAGTTAAAAGTGGACTTGATATGTTCACGATAAACCATGTAGCTTGGCATGCTTTTAAAAAAAAATTTGAATAATGTAGTTTATCCCCTATTACCAAACGTACAAGTCTTGATGCTCATTATTACATGTATTACCAACATAAATTTTCATAACACCCAAAATTATAAGGTGTTTGTTTCAATTACCAGAGTCTCTTTATTCCAGAAAACAGTCAGTTTATAATCTATCTTTGTGTTGTATAGTGATTTATCATTCAATATATCAACTTGTTGTTTTTATATATCATATAGTGCTGAAATGTCAACTTTAATAACTCACTTTTCGTTTTCTATTGAAATTTCACACATTTATCACTTTAAGAGACAACATTTTATTGTTTTCAAAATTATCATTCATCAAATGTGAAGAAATGTATTGTGTGAAACACGGGTATATCTCAGTTAAAAGTTGAGCACACACAAAGTATCTATTTTCCATTTAGTCACAACTGGATTACTGACAAACAATGTACACCCGAGTACATGTAAATCACCTGACGTTTCCACAACATTACATCACAGCTTGTGTCAATAATAAGTTATTGAAATATAATTACATGAAATATAAGAGTCTAAAGAAATGATACAGAAACATTTTAACAAATGCACCATAAAGCAATAACCAAGCTCAAAGCTCAGCATTAGCATCCAATCATAATATCCTAATATCTCCTAAAACAAACATATAGTTATCAATAAATGAAGCACACTTTTGTACCAGCTGGTCAAGAATGGTTCTGTCAGTGTATGTGTCAAACTTAATTGGGGAAAAGAGAGAAATAAAAAGCAATTAGCTAGTGTTCCATATAAATAAATAACTTAACATCGGCAATAAAGGGTATAAATGTAGAAAACATATTTCAACAATGCTATGGTCTATTTATTTCTAATGTTTATAATCTTTCTATTAAATTTGGATTCCAACAAGAAAAAAACATTATTGAATTGAAAATTGATTTCATTTAAAAGAAAAAGAACACAATAATTGTTGTTTTAGTTACATTTTCAAATAATAAAATAACAAAATATTTAGCATAGATAATACTATACTACTTGTCGAGTAAGACAAATTTTCTTTTGCATGTAAAGTAAAAATATTTGGCAATGTTTTTCAATCATAAAATTGACACCAATATGGCAATGTTTTTTAATCACAAAATTGACACTAACACTTCACTAGGTAAAATAGTTTCAACACCTTGAATATATCAGCTTGACATTAATTTACTAGTATACCATAGACCTGAACAATAACACTGGTATACCAAAGAGCTGGCCAATAACACTGGTATACCAAAGAGCTGGACGATAACACTGGTATACCAAAGAGCTGGACAATAACACTGGTATACCAAAGAGCTGGACGATAACACTAGTATACCATAGACCTGAACAATAACACTGGTATACCAAAGAGCTGGCCAATAACACTGGTATACCAAAGAGCTGGACGATAACACTGGTATACCAAAGAGCTGGATGATAACACTGGTATACCAAAGAGCTGGACAATAACACTGGCATACCAAAGAGCTGGCCAATAACACTGGTATACCAAAGAGCTGGATGATAACACTGGTATACCAAAGAGCTGGACAATAACATTGGCATACCAAAGAGCTGGATGATAACACTGGTATACCAAAGAGCTGGACGATAACACTGGTATACCAAAGAGCTGGCCAATAACACTGGCATACCAAAGAGCTGGATGATAACACTGGTATACCAAAGAGCTGGTCAATAGCACTGGTATACCAAAGACCTGGACGATAACACTGGTATACCAAAGAGCTGGTTAACATTGGTATACCAAAGAGCTGGACAATAACACTGGCATACCAAAGAGCTGGATAACATTGGTATACCAAAGAGCTGGACAATAACACTGGCATACCAAAGAGCTGGCCAATAACACTGGTATACCATAGACCTGAACAATAACACTGGTATACCAAAGAGCTGGCCAATAACACTGGTATACCAAAGAGCTGGATGATAACACCAGTATACCAAAGAGCTGGCCAATAACACTGGTAAACCAAAGAGCTGGACAATAACACTGGCATACCAAAGAGCTGGATAACATTGGTATACCAAAGAGCTGGACAATAACACTGGCATACCAAAGAGCTGGCCAATAACACCAGTATACCAAAGAACTGGACAAGAACACTGGTAAACCAAAGAGCTGAACAATAACACTGGTAAACCAAAGAGCTGGCCAATAACACTGGTAAACCAAAGAGCTGGCTAATAACACTAGTATACCAAAGAGCTGGACGATAACACTGGTATACCAAAGAGCTGGACAATAACACTGGTATACCGAAGAGCTGGACGATAACACTGGTATACCAAAGAGCTGGACGATAACAGTGGTATACCAAAGGACTGGACAATAACACTGGTATACCAAAGAGCTGGACAATAACACTGGTATACCGAAGAGCTGGACGATAACAGTGGTATACCAAAGGACTGGACATTACCACTAGTATACTAGAATGCTTGACATTACCATTTGTATACCAATGGGTTGAACAATACCATTGGCAAACCTCCATTTTTTCAGATAATTCAGTTCTTTGCAGTTTTTTCCTGGTTTTATGATACTAAAGGAAAATAACTATAGTCTCACATCCAGATCATGATGTAAATACATTATAAACCCAGATCATATAGTAAACACATTATAAACCGAGACTTTGATGTTAACATAAGACAAACTCAGATCTTGATACAAACACATTATATATCCGAAAATTTATGTAAACATACCTCATACTCAGATCATGATGTAAGTACATCATTAACACATATCATAATGTAACACACTGAAGTACTTGATTTTTTCTGATAACATGTAATAAAGCAGAAATTCAGATTATCAAATCAGTGTAATTAGTGACTAAGCCCTGATACCTATTTAAAATAATTTCCATAAAAAGCCCAATTTTTTTCTGGATACAATTTTGTATATCTATAAAAAAGAAAGGTTGATTCTGTATACTTTATAAAACAGGTGCAACAACTTAACTTTCATTTTTAATGGTGACGTCCATTTCCCTACCGTGCCACTCTCTCATCAAAAGACACAGCAACCTAAAACAGAAAGATCTGGTAAAATGCATGTATCAATGTAAAGATAGATAACTCCAGCAAACCTCAACACTTCTGGCTTCATGTTAACTTATGTAGAATCAGGTTACACCAACAAAATTAGAGTCAGATAATACTGACAGAATCAGTGTCAGATTACAACTACAGATTTAAGTTAAGATTACACCAACAGGGTAAGAGTCAGGTTACACCAACAGAATCCGATTCAGATTACACCAGCAGAGTAAGAGTCAGGTTACACCAACAGAATCCGATTCAGATTACACCAACTGAATCAGAGTCACATTACACCAACAGAATCAGAGTCAGGTTACACCAACAGAATTAAGAGTCAGATTACACCGACAGAATTAAGAGTCACATTACACCAAAAGAATTGAGAGTCAAGTTACACCAACAGAATCTGAATCAGGTTACATCGACAGAATTAAGAGTTACATTACACCAACAGAATTAAGAGTCAGATTACACCAACAGAATCTGAATCAGGTTACACCAACAGAATCTGAATCATGTTACACCAACAGAATTAAGAGTCAAGTTACACCAACAGAATTAAGAGTCACATTACACCAACTAAATCAGAGTCAGGTTACATCAACAGAATTAAGAGTCAGGTTACACCAACAGAATTAAGAGTCAGATTACACCAACAGAATTAAGAGTCAAGTTACACCAACAGAATTATAGTCAGGTTACATCAATAAAGTCAGATTACACCAACAGAATAAAGAGTCAAGTTACACCAACAGAATTAAGAGTCAGATTACACCAACAGAATTAAGAGTCAGATTACACCAACAGAATTAAGAGTCAGATTACACCAACAGAATTAAGAGTCAAGTTACACCAACAGAATTAGAGTCAGGTTACATAAATAAAGTCAGATTACACCAACAGAATAAAGAGTCAAGTTACACCAACAGAATTAAGAGTCAGATTACACCAACAGAATCTGAATCAGGTTACACCAACAGAATCTGAATCAGGTTACACCAACAGAATCTGAATCAGGTTACACCAAAAGAGTCAGGTTACACCAACAGAATGAAGAATCAGATTACACCAACAGAATAAGAGTCAGGTTACACCAACAGAATTAAGAGTCCGATTACACAGACAGAATTCTCCTGAGTATGACATCGTCTATGCTTACCATGACAGAATCAGTGCAATCATTACTAGTCCAGCGATCACCAAGAAAACCAGTCCAGGGAAGATGGTCACTGTATCTTTGTATATCTCTCCGAACAACAGTCCTCCACACGCTGTCATTAGGTGTTCCATGGCTGCCACTCCGGCAAATAGGGCTCCTTCACACAACATAGCATAATATCATTGTTTGAGGATAAAGTCGTCTGGTGACTCTGACAGATTTAACAACATTAACGGTAACAAGAGGCCCAAGGGCCTTAACAGTCACCTAAGTCACAGGGCTTCTTGTAAAATATCATTGAAATGATTTTGTTAAAATAAGTAATATAACTTTAACAATATTGTATCAACTATGCAAATATTAATTATGTATACATTAACTGCTGTCCCATGATATGGCTTCTAACCAAGTTCGAATTAAAAGAAATTACACTCAAGATCTCAATTTTCCTATATAGAATCTTTTATACAGGAACACTAGAACGTCTTGAAATTTCAGTCATTCTGGCCCATTTCTGGCCCCATTCAACAGTCCTTGGTGGTCAGCAGAGGCCAATATGTGCATCTCATTCAACTGTCATCTTAATCTAATAATTCAAACCATGTTTGACCTAACTCCAATAGAAAATAAACAAACCATGTTCAAAAATGTAATTTTTCTAAAAACAGAAACTATAGTCACCTTTACCCTCATCCTAGGATAAATGAGACCCTGTGGTCATAAATTTACAATTTTTGTGGAGCATCTGAAGGCCTTTCCATCCATAAAGAGTACTAGACTCTACCACACCTGGGATTTGAGATTTTTGAAGTTTCAATCAATTTGACCCTTTTTTTGCCCCACCCCTCTGGTCCCTCAAGGTTTGGGTCCATCTTATTTACAATTTTAGCCTTTGGCCATGTCAGAAGAAGTTGCAAAGTGGAAAGTTTACGACACACGATGCCAGACAAAAGCGGTCCATAATACGGTAAACTTCAACACAGCCCTGAGGACTTCTAGCTAGTACATAAAAATACCAAAGTATGTTGAAACTGTAAATATCACAATGTACAACTTTTAAAACATATATGATAATATAAATGATCAGTCCAATATCAGCTAATCATAATTATAACTCACTCAGAAATGGGATGAGAGTCTTCTCACAAACTTGGATAAGAGCCTTTTAAAGTTAAACACATAAATGTAGGTAATCAAATATGTACCTTGTTCTTCTGGTGATACCAGCTTTGACAGAATAGACCTTGAAATCGGGACAACGAGGATAGAAAAGGTCACAATCACTGTATCTGAAAATGCAAACATATCAAATTGATGTAATAATGATATTGTGTTGATATTGACAATCATTGTTCACCATCCCCTGGAAAACTTTGGGTAGTAGGGGAGACAACCTCAACAAATATTGTTTGCACTGCCTTGTTTTTAAAAGGAAAAACAAAAATTGCACTTTCTTCACCTCTGAAGAACATTCCCAGTCTTTTTATAAAACAGCATACACATCTAAATACCACACACAGTCTCCTCTTACACACATGTACAGATCTTCATATCTATAACAACCACAGAAAGCTTTATGTGAATCGGAATCAATGTATCACAATGCTGTACAGCACACAATATAAATGTGTATTTTATGTTTTGTAATGAAAGCACTCATAACCTCATTTAGAGGGAAGACAAATTTCATACTGATCTGTATTACATTACAAAATTTCAGCTCCAAGTAAGTACATTATTCTGAAAAAAACTGATTACTGGGCATATTAAATGTTTAAAAAAATCATTTTTATCTACTCGAACATTTCCTTGATGTTGATCATGTTTTGATCATGGTATCACCATACAGGTACACCCCTGTTCAATTATCTGCGGATGTGTACAAGTGTTACTGATAGATACAAGCTTGTTTCTCCACATCCTAGATGACTCAGCAGATGAATGTGCATGAAATTTAACCTATGAAATTTCTTAAATCTGTATGAATCAGCAAATTTCATAATTGTGAACACATATGGAACAGACTTTTTTATAATGTACATTATGTATGTAATATATTTTTGATAATTGATTTACAAAAGTTCATTCACTGAGCTCATTTGATGGTTAAAACTGACCACAATTCAAATACTTTTGTATTGATTGGGGTTAAATATGCAAAATGACCATAGACATCGTCACCTTCTTATGAATAATGTATTTGTAAACATTGTGTAATTAACCTGTCCATGTTTCTCTTGTATATCATACTATGTTCTTACACCCATGAATGACAATGTACCTAATTAAGGAAAGCTAACTTACTTCCCAAACACTGTCAGAATTAATTATAATGTTAATAATAAACCTTGTAGAAGATTGCTTTAGTCGATTACTTGAAAGATACATGAATGGTCATCTATACTTGTACACCTTGATAATCATGACACAAAGAAAATATCAAATCGTTATATTATCATATATAATTAATGTTGATTTTCAAAATTCATTTTCATTGGAAAGGCTTAAACTGAGAGTAATTTAAATTATGGGAGAGAGTAAAGACTTGTGACAAATAATGCCAGGACATACAAAAGGTCATTGAATGTTAGGTCATTATTAAAGAGCCAAACCCACTCCTCGATCGATATCATTTTATATAAAAAAAAACATTTCATGATTTTCTATTTCTCTCTTGTAGCAAAAGTTCTGACTAACCCTGTAATACCATAATTTTAAAGTAAATCGCTACCAATCTAATGTAATAAATAGTTTTAAAAGAATTTGAAACGACTCAGTGCTGATTCATAATTATGTGGGAAGTCTTGCCCTCTGAAGCGTGCGCAAAGCACTGTAAATAAATCTGCCGTCTTCCAACATGACATAAAGCGTGCGAGGGAAGCGGGGAAGAAAACGTGTTTTGACAGACTCCGAGACTGAAAGAAGGAAGATGGCGCCCTCAACCGGCTGGTTCATACTCTGTATCGCTCTCTGTTTGGCTAGTATCACTCTAAAATCATATTCATAAATACTCTTATCATCAAATATTCGCTTTAGATAGATCTATTTTGCGATGTTCTATATGTCCGTTACCGTATCGTAGCCCCCATTTGAGGGACTCTTTGCAATTATTCATAGTTTTTCACGTAATCTGCACGTTTTTGTGTCACATCTAAGCATTGAAAGATGTGATCAATACATACGTTAGATGAATTCCATACAGGACATATAGAGTATTGATTGCATTTATCGGTAAAATCTCTTTACAAGGGATGTCACATGGACGTACTACTCACATCTTCCTCCATTTTTTATTTGGTTCTGACCGCGTCTGAACGTATCACATGACTTTTCCTCATCAATATTCATATTTTGGTGTTGATTAATGAGACTTATTCCGGCACCGATATCTCTGGTACCCTTTCAATTTCAAAACTTTATACAAGTCTTTATTTATATATTATCTATTAGTATACAACAACATTTCCAGTCAATAAAATATGAAAAAAATATCTATAACGGAGTGGGTCTGGCTCTTTAACTATGCATACTTAACAAATGAACATACTGATAAATATCATGTTCCTTGATAAAAGTGTTTAAGTTATCTGTATGTATTTAGCATGGGTGTTTTTACATTATCAAAACTATATGGGTTATTTTTTTATTTGGCACATGTACAAGATTAATGTACACCTATACATATGATGATACACAATTCATGTATGTGAAATAAGTGCTTTAAAATCTTCCATTATACTTAAATGGATGAAAGTTTAAGCGTTACAAATACAATTTGATATAAATTTCATTGACAATGAGTCTATCAGCCTAAAATACAACGTATAAGCTTTTTGCATGCATCGGTGATCAAATCTACTTCAAAGGCATACTGTATCCAACACAAATACTTCTCTACAAGGCTACTGACTGTAGGTCCCATTCAAATACAAAGCGTAATTATTGAACTCCCATATAAAGGTTACCTGTATATAAAGACCACTTTTCTCTGCTCGCATGAATTACCTTTATAGACAGGTCTGACCATATGTAATATCATAAGCATACTTGTTCAGAGAAGTGTATATTAATGCTCTGAGAATATTTCAACCTCTCTCAAGAAAGAGATATTGGAAAGTGATCTTTATATTTTGACCACTAACTCTATCCTATCTATATTATTATTATACCTTAGTTCAAAGAAATCCTGCAAGTAATGAAAGCAAAACTACTACGTGTTAACAGAGTTTTCGGCTGCAGTATGACATTCTTCCAATTCACCTTTGGGTGAATATATCTTAGAGCAAATTTAATCAACAATTGGTGAAAACGAAACTTTTTATCACAGGGGGTCACCCTTTATGGATGTTTCCCTTAAAATATGCAATATCTTTAGTTCCTTTAGAGATGAAAAAGATATTTTGATTAATATTTCCATTGAATATTTATTTATAAATACTTACACAGATAGATCATCCAATCAGATTTTGCAAGGGCCAAGGGAATGAAGGACACCATTCCGATGAAACAGCCGAAGGAAAGTAGATTCACATCTCGCATTACACGTAAAACCAGACGCAGAAATATGATCCCAACAACCCAGTTTATGAGAATCTGAAGTGAGAACACTACGCTGATGTGGACCTCAGACCAGCAAAATGGTTGCCCTAACAGGAACAGTGTCACCACATTAGTTTTTGACAAAAAGCATGTGGCAGCAATGACCAGGATAAGAAGTAAAACTAGCATTTTACCTCTTCTGTTCTGAGACGTCTTTTCATAGTAAAATACAAAGCATCGTTTGATAGTGTTGAGACTGATTCCACTGTGACTGTGATCCTCTCGGAATGGTCTTGTCTCGGGTACCGCAAATACCCACACAATTATTGTGAGTACAGTAAGGCCAGTAGAACACAACATAGGGATTAGAAAACCAGAGTATTTGATCCAGAAACCCCCTCCCAATAATGCCAAGGCTGCACTGGAAGCCATGATCCCTTCCATTAAAGCTATTCTGAATCCACGTTCCTGTCCCGGGGATGTGACATCTGCGAGCATAATAAATGCTGTCATTACAGCACAAGACATGTAGCCAGTGATCCCCTCCAGTGTATTCCCAATGTAAAGATATGGCAAGGGTGCTTCCAGGTAGAATACAACGATGTACACAATCTGGTGTAGTAAAAGTCCTATCAATGTTATCAAAAAGGAAACTTTTCTCCCACACCTATCGGATATGTAACCAAGGAAGAATGTTGGAATAATGGCCGTAAAACTACTGAGAAAAGACATGTACATAAGTTGTTGTGAAGATTCCTTCTGAATATTACTGATCACTTTTGTTGCCTCCGAGTTGTTCTTGCTATCACAGATACTGGTGTCATCATTTTTAATGTAATTTGGGATGCCGTATGACTTGGCTACCTGGTTATATACATAAAACTGACTTATCGGTAATGCAAGAACACTGGCAAAGAAGTACATTGAGAGAGCCAGTTCTATGACATAGGTGCACATCCATCGTGGGCTGGTTATATGTGGGATCTCATTTGTTGGGGACTGGTGATCATCTGCATTATCCCCCAGTAAAGGGGGATAGTCCACATTCCTTTCTCTTCTCATTATTGCATTCTGAAATAAATATCAATATTTCAAGTGAGCTGAACTTTAATAATAGAGAAGAAGTATGAATTTGAATATTTAAATTAGATGTCTTCTGGCTGGAAGAGGGAAATTGCAGTTTTATCCCTTAAAATGTCAACTTTACTTAACTCTTCTTCTCATACAAAAACATGTTATTTATTATTACAATATACACCATTGGATAATCATAATCCCAAACAAATTGATATGTGTAAATTAAAAAAAAAATCCAGAATTATAGTTTTTGGCGAACTCCCAAGTTCTTTTCCTATGTGACAGTCAATTTCTTATAATGTTGATTTAATGGTAATATTCATTCCTTTTTTATTCAAATCTTTTTAAGCAAGAAATGTTACATTATACTTAACATGGCACCAGACAGATGGCACAGAACCACCGAGTGCCTTACAAAGAACCAATAAGAAAATGACAAATTTTGGATCATCCTATCATTTCAGTGATAGCTGCGGGACATGCCAGTAGATTTTGACCAGAGATCAATGAGAAATGGTTCAACTTGAGGAGGACCTATATCTCGGTAATTCATTGCACACAACATCATTGCCAAGCTTAACATCAGACATAGCAGAATTAATCAAATACATAAACTTTATTTATTTTATTAGCTTATATAAATCACTCTTGTTGACCCGGATGGAAGTGTGCTAGGGGTCTTAATTAAAGAGGAAACTGGAGTACCCTGGAAAACCCACATGGTCGGGCAGGTGACCCCATGTCTTTTCACGTCCATTTCAGGAATAAAACCTCTGACAGCTAGGTGAAAGGAGAGTGTGTTACCAATGTGCCACCCAACCACCGTAATCAACTAGCGAGTGTTGAGCTACCCATCTGAATCTAAACATACATTGTGTCAAAATGAGAGAAACTTTTAAAAAGTAAGATAAATTCAATATAGAACAAATTCCAAAGTAATATAACTGGTGCACTTTGATTAGCTTTATTTCCAATAGTTAAACATTTTTTTCAAAAAGTGTGGCAGTCAATATGACGTGCTGAATACTTCTTTCTTATGAACTATATTTTGTGATAGCGTAGTTGGTTTCGTAATTAAGTTTTGGTGTCTGCAAGGTTACTTCTTTTTAGTATAACAGGATGTTTTGGACAGAAGTTTGACATGAATTATCACCATAAATCAAAGATTTGAAATGCATAAATGCTGACTTTGAGGATCATTTTTCTAGAAATTTCAAACCCCAAAAATATTTCAGTCTGTTTTGATGACAGCTGGTCTGAGATACAACCGATGGGTGAAGAATTAGGTCATATCAGAGACGTATATATTTACATGCATGTAAACAAAACATGAACATCTGACACTATTTCTTGCAAACGCCAGTTGATCCACATGTAACAATACAAAAGCCCTGTACAAAGTATGTGACCATTTGTAACTGAGGAAAATCACCAACCTTCTTGAAGTTCCTTGTCCAGTCCTTGCACTCACGTGCTGATGAGGTTTGTGTTTATTTTTCACTTACAGCGAGCGCCACCTATAGCTAGCTACTTCAGGTTCGATCATTAACTCGAGCGACCTGATGCGGCCGAGTTCGCGATCGATGGTGTGTAGTTAAAACAATACATATAGTCCAAAGCGGGACAAAACAGTAACAAAACTTGTATAAAGTAGCAACACAGGTATATCATTCATTACAAATCTGACATTTGTTCAAGTGTGGTATACAAGGGCGTAGCTAGCCCAGTAGAAATGTATAGGCCCAGGCGAGGAGTCTGGGGGCCTGATATTTATGTTCAACCATAGTTTTGTAATTTTGTCCGACATACTCTATGCACGGATTTTTTATGTGTGAGCCCGGGCTTTATCTTTCTATGGAACCTGGTATACGTGTTGCTTCGAAAAGCACTGATTCAATGAGATACATTTATCCAGAGACGTTATGTGTTATCTCTGATTTATCAATACCCTTATTATTTTAAGTCATTTTAACTTGACAATTGCCTTTGTTGTCTTTTAAAATGTAGAAAATATAATTTATTAGTTTCAAAAGCAAAACCAGTAAATCATATTACACTTTAAAATAAATATGAGATTTCATTGTTTAATTTCCATATATGAGAGAGGGCCCATGGTCCCAAACGACGGTTGACTCTCCCATGTGATAATACCATATTTAGGCATCCGTGGTTTGGGATCATCGCTCGAGTGATGACTTTTTTTCCATATTAAATACCTATTACTGCAGTTTGTAATGTGTAGAATTGACAAGTTCTGTTTTTTCCATTTGTTTGTTTTTGTTTTCAGTATCCATATGTCACAGTGTAAATAGTACTTAGTGTCTGTAAACGTCCTGTCTAACTTGTATTCGTTACTGTCCGTGCATTTACGTGTATGTCCTTATTTGGTGTGTTACCTGTTAGGTATTGTCAGTGTCTGTCCTTATGTGGTGTTGTTTTGAGACGTGTATGTGTTCAGGTGTGACAGGCGAGGAAGTCGTGCGAGAGTGAATGTGTAGAGTAACAAAACTAGGGATACCCCTGGGTGCGGGGCAGAACTACAAAATAGCCACGTCGCTCTGGACGTCCTCCGGAGTCTAGGCGCCACAAATAGCGACAGGTATACATTACTGCCACGGCCCGACGGTCGCTGACGTGAGGTGCATTCGTGGAAACCAGCTAGCAAATATATATGTGCATGTCATTGTTAGACCAGGGGTACAAATAAAAGAAGTTTAAACACACAACGAATACAGTTTTATTTGAAGGTGTGACACATAATGTTTATTTATATACTTATTTGTAACACTAAGTATGGTAAAATAAATTTATAAATATGACTGACTTGTTTGAAAAGTAAAAACTTCATTCACGCAATTATGTCTGACTCCATGATTCTGATCATCGAAAATCTTAGGTTTATTTCCGATTACTTAGCGAAGTAATCCATCAAAAAATGGGTTATTTCATGAAATAGATTTCAAGTAAAATATTCATTCAACTTAAAAAGTTGAGATAAATGTCCAAGAGAAAATAAATTTCAAAAACGCAGTTTTGTTGTTCTAAATGGACCAAATTTACACCAGAGAACGTATTGTTGATCTTTAAATCACCAAATGTAAATTTGATTAAGCACAAGCTATAGCAAATTTTAAACGCGTAATATTTCAAATTTTGGCAACAAAAATATAGGAAAATGTTTATACAATAACTGTTAACTTAAGAAGCACAATGGGTAATAGTTTCAAGTATGAGTTTGCTGAAGGTCAGAGGGGAAAATGCACAGATTTAATTTGATTTCTTCTAGATTTGTACATCCTATTAAAAAAAAAATCCTTTTTGAATTTTCAATTTGACTGGAAAATCTCTAAAGTAAAAGATATTTGTAAGATAAATGTATCTAAATCAGTCATGTAATATTTTGATGGTGACTTGTCAAACCTGTCTGTTATAAAATAAGACACCAGGGTCATTAATCATCTACCTCAGTTAATAGTTCAATTACAGCTCATGTTGAGTTTATTACAAAGAGGACAATTTTGAAAATGATTTCCATTCTCCCATTGTCATATTGTGGGTTGGAGACCCTGAACACCATGATTGGCAATAATGTCATAATATTCAATGATGAGACCAATTTTCTTATTTGTAAATGTAAAAAGTCAATGACATAGCTGGAATTTATAGACAATACAGAGATGCTATAGCATGAACAGAAATACAGAGAAAGGCAGAAGAAGATAATGATAATATTCCTATATAAATTGTAGAAAATTCTTCCCTAGGGGAAATGTGAAACCCTAAGGGCAAAAAATTCACATTTTAGTAAATCATCTTTAAACCTTCCATCCCTGAAATTTGAATCAATTTGATAAATTTCAGTCCCCTACTTAGAGCTCTGTGGGTGGGGAGCATATAATTCCTGATTTTATGTAAAATTTTATTAAATTTGGTTCAGGACTAACCAAAAAATCCACAGCATATCCAAAATCCAGTTAACATTACAAAGAAACAAAATTCTGTGAAGTGTACAATTGTCTTGTAGGTATGGAAATATGATGTGTTTTAGTGTTACTTTAATTACAAGTTTTTCTTTGACTATGAATCAGTACTATGACAGTGTAGTGCTAAAACTTAACATGAAGTGGACTAATAAGTGGTCTGTTCACACAGGTGGTCTCTCAATAGAGGTGATCTCTTTACACAAGTGGTCCTCGGTCTTGGTAAAAGGGTCAAAATAAAAAAATAAAAAATCAAAGCAAACAAACATCAAGATCATCTTGAGACTTCAACTTTACAAATTCAGTTTATATCATAATCATGGGATAATATCATCAAATTCTATATTGTATACTCGATAAAGTTTTGGTGATCAAAATCAAATAATGAAAGGCTATTTATTATAGCTTTTAGAACAATCTTAATGCAGTTGTTATCCCAATGTCCTGTCCTGATGATGGGATTCACACTTCTGATCACTTTTTGACATTTTTCATGACATCTACTGATCAGATTCCAGCATTCCATACTTATAGCAGACAATACTTGAACGAAGGTCTACAAGTCCATCAAGCAGGATTGTACTTCAACCTGCTTCAGCTATTTATTATTGATGCTGAGGCTCCAATTCTGTGTGCATCTGAGATTGCAGTTGGGAAAGTTGACATCATTGCATGTCTTCAAATAGAGTAATCTAAACCAAATTGGTGAAAGGCACATTCATTTTCAGCAGAACAATGCAATCTAGGTTTGTTTTTCAGTTTGAAGTTTGCTTTTGTGCTATGAAGTAAATGTTTGATTCATTATCATGTTGAACAGATATACTTTACTGTTTTGAAAGTATGAAATACAGTGGTTCAGGGTAGTTTTATATTGTGTAAAGTTATGTAAAAATCTTTTTAGCCTTTTCCAATTTTTTATAGGTAATGTACACATGTTAACTGTTAAGATGAAATAAATGTATTCAGGCCATTGCACCATAAAAAATTGAAGGATAAAACTGTTCT